TATTAACTTCGCCAAACCGTATATGTAGCAAGGTTTTTCTTAGTTTTTTTGCTTATTTTGTTTTTATAATAAATAAAAAGAAAACAAGTAGAAAGAATAGAAAAAGAATAGGGAATGCTAGTGTTAGAGGGTCATTTTTAAGTAAAAAATAAAACAAGTCAATAGAACAGAAAAAGAATAGAGAATGCTAGTGTTAGAGGCTCTCTTTCTTTATAAATAAAACAAGTGATTAGAATAAATAGAATAGAGAGTGCAAATGTTAGAGGGTCAAGTTTTTTAATAAAAAAACAAAACAAGGGGATATAAATAGAAGTAGAAATAGTATAGAGAGTGCTAGAGTTAGAGGGTCAAACGAAGATGAAAGAGATGTGTTTTCAGCTGCTTGGATTGAGTTGGGCAGGTCATTCCACCAGGAGGGAAAAGTTAATGTAGAAGTCCATGAAAGTTTTATCATAGATAGAATGCAAAATATTTCAATACAAGCGTTTCAGTCAAATGTAATTTATGCAATATTTCAAACCTTTAACCCACTTGGGAAAATCAACCCATGGCAACAGGCAACAGTTTAAAAGTAGCCCAATTCTGTGGGAAAAAACACAGACTTGGCAACCCTGCATCCAACAAGAGCTACAGGAGTCAGATTTGATTGATCACAGGTCGAGAATAAGGGGAGATGACTGACAAGAGCATGCTGGATTATTTGCTGCTCAACAGATCCTGAACTCATTGACAAATATCTGATCTTGTAAAATGTGCTCTCTTTACTCAGAATATGTGTGATCCCGAAATTGAAAGAGAAAGTAAACAGTGCAAACGCTCATTCAAAAATATTTAAATACACCGCATCCTGAGAGCGGCTACAATATTAGAATGTTTAAAGGAGTGGACACGAAAATCGCGGGAGCGAAACACATGTTGCGGAATCAGGCGGCAATGGTCAGAGATTCAGCGGGAGCGGGATTAAGAAAACAGCCGAATCTGTTTACCCCTGCCAGATTATGCACCCCCTCGTTGAAGTCGCTACCTGATTGCCTAATCCCAACCCCACCCCTAATCCTAACCCCTCCCCCACTCCTAAACCTACCAATACTAGGGGGTGCATAATCTGGTTGGGTGCAAATTTCGGCACTACACCTGACGCAATTTTGTAGGTCCAAAAAGAGGACATGACCGGAGAAAAGAGGACGTATGGTCACCCTTTAAGGTAAATTTGCCTTTCTGTTTTTTCTGATATAGATTTCTGATTTGTAATACATTGGTCCGTGTGCATTTCGAGAATTTAGGTGCGTCCCAAATCGCTGTTCTATGACGTTTTGTAGTATAAATAGTGCAAGTAGTGCGTTCACACTGAAAATTCCAAAAAGAAAAAGTGCACTTTAAATACCCGGTTGATGTACTTAACCGAAAAAATGAAGTGTGGAATGTTGGACACTTCATGCACTCAACTGTTGCAGTTTTAATTACGTACTGATGGGGGAGCGGCTATCAAGACTTCGATTATGAACAACAAAATAACCTTATATAATTCATACACTACATGGTTGAGTACATAGTGCATAAGTACATACATTTTCAACTTGTAGAAAGTGAATCAGTCACATTCACATGACCTAGTAACGTCTGGACACAAGTTTAGTTGAACATTTAAGTGTAAAGCCTCTCATGCAAGTCCAGTCTTGTCAGTTAAATCTTTTCTTTGCTCAAACAATCCGTAATTTGTTGTTTAAAAAGCAAAGTCTTATGAACACGTTTCTATAAACGGGAAGGCTTTGGATTCACTGCTGAATAGGCCAGAGTGTAAATTGAGGACCATACAAAAGGAGTGATTGGTCTAATT